TTCGCATTGGGCTCTCTGAGACAGAGCCCTCTCGTTTCTAATGGTACCAAACTGAAGTGCTTGGCAAAGAGATTGGGGAAAGACGTCTATAATCCTGGTGCCTGCTAAAGAGATGATGATGTAACCAGGCCCTGCAGCCAACTGGCAAGAGGAGACCCCAGGTTTAGGAGGAGAGGACCATCACCTCCTCTCACACCTCCCACCTGGAGAGCTCAAAGCTCCTTTCAGACATTAATGAACTGATCCTCATAAAATGCCTGCTTGATGCCAGGGACACCACTACACTGGGACACTCGCAGCCTGCAGGACAACACTTAGTGCAGTGTTTGCCACATCTTCCCATTCTAAGTGTGGGACCTGCCCGTTTCCTAACAACACGCACTGGGGGTAGTATCCCTCGCTCACAGAGGTAAGGAGAGCTGAACTGACTGCCCCGGACTTGCACAGCATGTCAGTGGCAGAGTCAGCAGTAGAATCCACGTTTTGGATTCCCTGTCCCATGCTTTAGCCAAAACATCATCCTTTGCCAGGAACTCACATTACCCTGGGGCAAACGGTGGAATCCTATCTGCAGCCCTGCCACAGTCCCCGTCAGTAACGCACCACTTCAGAGAGGGAGGCAGGCTCGGGGAGCACACAATGGGTGGGGGATGACAGCCCAAAGCCTGGCAGAAGATATTCTCTCTGTTCATCTGCACTCTCTGCAGAACTCTAGCTCCCCCTGGAAGTCACTGTCCAGCTCTCTCTGCAAGAGAGGGATGCAGCTGGCACAGCCTCCCCAGCACCCCTGTGCCAGAGCAACATACTGCATCTGAAACAGGCAGTGGGAAGAAGTGCTGCCCCTCATTGTGAACCAGGCCATGAGCAACAAGCAGGAGCAGGGAGCCCTGGGCCACCGCAGCGCCCTCAACGCGGCAGCTGGGAACCGCCGCAGCACCGCTAACGCGGGAGCAGGGAGCCCTGCGCCACCGCAGCGCCCTCAACGCGGCAGCTGGGAACCGCCGCAGCACCGCTAACGCGGGAGCAGGGAGCCCTGCGCCACCGCAGCACCCCCAACACAAGTGAGGAGAGTCCTGCGCCCCCGCAGCGCCCTCAACACGGGAGTGGGGAGCCCTGCACTGCTACCAACGCAGGAGCAGGGAGCCCTGAACCACCACAGCAGGCAGTTTGTGGCAGAGCAGGGACTTGAACCCAGGACTCACAGTCCCAGGGCAGTACCCTAACCGCTGGGCCAGCCTCTCCCCACCTCAGCTGTTCAGAGTGTAAGCTCTCTGGAGCAAAGACTCTCTCTACCCAGCCCATAGGGGCCTTGAGCTCACCTGGGGCCACTCAGCAGTACCGGCACACAAACAGCTAAGAGTACCTGACAGGGTAATGACCCGGCGGAGGGAGGCACCAGCTTGTTCAACCCAAGAATGGATCCAATTCAACTTACAACACACACACACACACTTTGTACAGTGGGTGAGAGAGACACAGACAGACCAAACTCCCAGGGCAACAGTGTCAAAAGTGGCCACTAACTGTGGGTGCCAAATGGGAGACACTTCAAGGGTTCCCGGACTGGGCTCCCAAAAAGAGAGGCGGAGTTCCTGGTGATCTGCAAAGCTCCTCTCCTGTCTGCTGGGCAGCTCTCCAGTCTCTTGCTTTCCCCCGACAGCAGGCTCACACACAGGAGTGAGACAGGATGATGGCCCTTTACTCTATGAGAGCTTCACCCCAACCCAAAGTCCAGCAGGACTCAGTCCACCCCCAGCAAATTCAATAGAAAGATACTCAATGGCTACAGCAGAGTTTGATCAAACCTGTCAAGCCTCTGCCCAGCACCAATGGGGCACAAACACTGGCTGCACATGCTTTGCAGGTGAGTCGGCCCCATCCGGAGTGAACCAGGCAATGCCACACACTGGTTCCAGGCATGCATCTGGAAAGCATCAGTTCAAAGACCATGTACTTCTCACACAAACATCTTTCCCCTCTTACAGGTAACAGAATCTCACTATAAGCCAAAAGGTTTTCAGAAGTGAACGCACATCACTGTGCACGCTGCTAGCTGTCGCTGTGCGTAGCTCTCAGCTGGGCCAATGAAACATGAGTCAGATTCCCTTTGGCTATGGCCAATTCCACACAGGTTCTCAAACACTAGCTCACACCACAATGTTTGCCAGGCTGCAGAGGAAGGGTTGCTGCACACAAGATGTATCCGTTGGATTGTGCCCCCCAGGTTCATGGGTCGGCCAGGGTTTGTAAAAAGTGATTCAGACAAATGTGACATTTAGGCCGTAAGTGGCCTAGCCTCGCACCTGTAATACAATTAAAGCCCTGAAAATGCACGGCCAGTGTAACTGCACAGTGTAAACGCACAGCGTAAATGCACACCCAACAGACTGACTGGTGTGTCACAATTAACAAATGTTCCATTCATGAACCCATGTGATTAGAAATCATTTACAGGAGACTGTGCCACTATGCTCAGGTCTTTAGAGTGTGCATGGCAATCTTACCATCTACATCCAGAGACGGCTGCATAGCGCTGCCTGGCCTGACCAGGCCCTCCCTCTCCTAGTAAGGAACCACCTACTCCATCCCAGGCCCAGGTTGGCCCTGCCTTCCCCATGTAGATTATTCATTAGCCAGAGATGTGTGTGTGATGGAGGTGCCACCAGAAATGATCACGACCTGCTCTTCACCCTCCCCAGCAGGGCTGGAAGAAGCTGCCTCTGCAGTGCTGCCAGCCTGGAGAACATGAGCCCCAAACTCAGATCCCCACCCTGCAGGGAGAGGGGCCGGGACAAGCACCAGCAGCAAATAGAATGCAGGAGCTGTTCACGAAAAGCAGCATGGCCTAGTGGAGCGTTCATGGTGCTAAGCCTGGGGCTTCAGGCAGCGTAGCGAGGATCTCGCCCACCAGCAGGGTGGGGGCAGATGAGCTGGTCTTCTCCTTGCAGGGCACAAGGAGCAGGTATGGAACCAGCCCGCTGAGAGTGGGAAGGGCCAGGCAGATGCTGAAGGTAGGGGCCTGTCTCCCTTTGGCCTGGGCCTGGCATGCTAGCTTCCCACCCTGCCCAGCACTGGGACCATGGAGCTGCTGGTTCACTCTGACATAGGAGGGACAGACTCCCTTCTTCACCTCTGTCCAGCCCACCTGTCTGCTACCCCTTTGTCCCACCCCCTCCTCTTACCCTTGTCTGCAGCCCCCACCCCTCACCCATGGCCCCCTGACCCAGCCAAAACACCGGTGTTAAGCTGCCCTTCCTTCCTGGCTGTTCTGCCCAGGTCACTTCCCACCTTCGAGCCCCTCCCCACTTCCATAGCCAGCTCTGGCCTCTGCCCAGTACCCTTGCCTACATTGCAATGCCATCTCTGTCTGCCCTCCCCCAGCCTTCACTGGCCCTCCCTCCTCCTGCTTTCATTCTCACTGTCCACTCAACTCCTCCTCAAGCCTTGCTTGGCCCTGTCCCTGCGCTGCTTGTGCCTCTTGGTTTGTCCAGAGCACCCCTGGCTTGAAGACCCATGCAGCCAGAGCAGCTTTTCCTAGGTGCTAGTGATTTACTGAGCTTGAGGAACACCACACAATGAGGGCAGAGGGCTCTACTGCATAGACCAGGACAGCTGCCGGCTCCCCCATTTCACACAAAGTTGGTGACTCCAGCTCCTGTTGAGTTGCAAACGCAGCCCTCACATAGGCAAAGTTTGGGAGTGCCCAGAGATGTTTGTCTCTTGCCAGCACTGCACTCCCACAGGTACTAACCTTACATCATGGAAATGCACTCAGCACATGGATTATGCATAGCATGCCACAGCACCCAGAAGCTAATCAATAAGTGTGTTTGTTACGGAACCCTCCAAAAACATTTATTTTAGCCAGCTGGACAGATAGTAAATCAAATGCAGCTGTGCATATTACCAGTTAATGGGCTTTCCCCAGGAATGGGAGCTCCTCTACTGGCCCATCACGTCGTTAATTAAAGGGAGGACAGACAAGCAAAGGCAGCAGTGTTACACTATGCAACACAAGAGAATTCACAGGCCCTCTTAGAGCTACAGGACCTTCAGCTGACTCTTACACTGCAAACAGGGGGAGAGGGGATCATGCTTTCCATTGGGAGCTTAGGGCAACCTACAATTTAGTTCTAGGGAGATGGGATCTAGTGGTTACAGCAGGGAAGTCAGAGACGGGACTCGTGGGTTCTGCTTCTAACTCTCACTCCTTTCTGGGTCAGCGTTCTCGTCGTAAAGCAGGGATAAAACTTACCTTCCTCAATAGGGCTGAAAGGGTTTACAAAGTGCTTTGAGATCCTCGTGTGATAGGCCTGCCAGAGGAAGAGCCTCACCCTAGTGCTCTTATTAACATCCTCGCTATTCCCACACTCATGCAAAGGGTTCCAGTACTAATCAAACCCCAGAGTCTGGCTGGAGTGCATGTAGTCTGCTTTCCCCATTTACTGACATGCTCTGGACAGATTTACTCTCCTATACCCACCACTACAACTTCCTTGGAATGGGAACCGCAGAGTCCTTGTCAAACAGACTGGAAGGCCTGTCTCGTGCCCCCACCATTTCAGTAAGTGCCTCATTACAGACCTGCCCCATACCGGAATGACTCCCACCTGATGCCCCTAAGAGGTGACAATACACCCAGCCCAAGGGCCAGGGAGGGGAGGACACAGGATTCTGCACAGCATGGTGCTAACACGGCTGGCGCGTCGTGTCGCCCAGCCACTAGATATTGCAGTGGTGTACACACACTTTGTACGTCAATCTCAGCAAGAGCCCTGCAGACAGGAGTGCCCAAAGGCTGCTGCCCACACAGCTCACTCCAATATGCTAGCGGCCATCCTGCCTCCAATACAGGGAGCCCCCCAGTCCCACCACACAACGCCCTTCTGGACTAAAGGGAAAGGTGGCCCTGGTCTGTTCCTAGCAGCTACCACTCTGCCCTGGCCTGGTTGCAGTGTGGTCCAGGCAGGACCCCGCAGCACTGCACACACAAGACCCACCTGGCCTTCTTGGGCTTTGCCTTGGGGGCCGGCTCAGTGCTGCTCTTTTTTTCTTTAGGCTCCTTGGGGGCTTTGGCCTCCCGGGGTTTCCTGGGTTTCTTGGCTGCCTCCTTCTGCTTGGGCTCCCTGGGTTTCTTGGGCTCCCTGGGTTTCTTGGGCTCCTTTGGCTCTCTCTTCCTCTTTGGTTTCATCTCTCTCTCCAAAGCTCCTTTCTCCCCCACTTCCAACTCCCCTGGGGCCTTTTTCTTCCGTTTCTTCTTCACCCCGGTGCCCCCACCCCCGCTGTCCTGCATGCCATTCTGGGATGGTGTCCTCTTCTGTACAGCCTCGCCAGGCTCCTCCTCTGGGCACTGGTAGTGACTGGCCAAGTCTGCAATGTTCACGTGGGGACACAGGTCCTCCTGATCGGCGCTGCTGGCGAAGGGGGCCTGAGGCTTGTACTCGCAAGGGAGTGAGGCGCCAGACATCAGGGAATGAGACAGCTGCAAAGAGAGCAGAAAGGAGGAGCGTTAAGCAAATGGCCCCTGCAGACATGGCAGGTGGGGGCTGCTGGGGTCCTGCCACTCTACAGACATTATGGATCTTTACAAGTCTAGGGGCAGTGTTATGCACAGGCCAAGATGCTTACAACACAGCCTGACTGTTCTGCCGAGGTTCCCTGGTGCAGCGTCATGCACAAGGACTACATGGTGCCAGACTGTTCCATGAGGACAGCGTTCAGTGCGGTGCATGCTGCTAAGCAGATGGATGCTTGGCATAAAACTATCAATCAACAGTAACAATCACCTCTTGTGCACAGTTTCGCAACAACCCATCGGAGAGCACTGTACAAAGGGGTAAGTCTCACTCCTCCCTTTGACAGCGGGGAAGCTGAGCCCAGCAAGGTCAGGAGCAGAGCTGGGAGCTGAATGCAGGCCTTCTGGGTCCCAATCCAGTGCCCCCTGGGAGCAGAACCCACTTCCTGATGGCGCCGGGGCAGAGAAGGGGAAGTTTGCACCTCCCCTATTCAGGGACTTGTGGAGCCTAGAATCCCTGCCTCAACGGCCTCATAGGACTTTGCAGATTTCGGAGTTGCCCTAGCTACACCTCACCTCCTGCCTGGACTCCACACACCCAGTGCACTCAGACCTGCTGTAGAGGTGAGGTCGAGCCGGCTCCACGGCCAGGCAGGTGTTCCCAAGCCAGGGATGTTCCCTGGATTTAAGCCTGCACTGCAATCTCTTTACAGCTGCCTCGCTGGCCTAGAGGGGGCATAGGAAAACCCCAAATGGTTACCCTTGAGGAGTGTGCAGTGTTTTTCATTCAGCATGCAGACAGGAGGCAGCTGCCCAGTCAGATACAGTGCTGGGCAGTGTGATCACAGGGTCACTGGTGCTTCCTTCTAAAGAATCAGACATACCCAGGCCACTCCTGACACCAGGGGCTGTGCAAACTTTAAGCAGTCTGGAATATTCTCTGCTTCGCCCTGCTTCTGGTGTTTGTTTATTTTTGCAATTTCTTCAGCACTAACCACTGAAAGAATTCAATCCCCTTCTCCCATGGCTCCGAGACACAAGCAGACAGGGTAAAACCAGCCCAACAACCTCCAAAGCTGGCAAAACAGGCCACAATAAGGGGAGCAATAAAGTGACCAGAGAGCTCCGGGGCTAGACTAGGGCACCCTGGCGTAATAGGGTTTACTTTCCCCTGAAGAGAGGACTGTTTGGTAGGACTCTTGCTAGGATTGGGGCTGTGCCGAGCACTCATGGGGGACCCTAAGCTCCATGTGGTGTTTCAAACCAGGACAGGATGTATCATAGGAAATGTTCCTCAGTAAAGCTGCCAGAGATAGACAGTGACCGAGGGACGCTCACAAGCCAGCCAGAAACATGACTCTTTCTTTGCAAATAATGAACAGGGTGAAATTATAATGAGCATGGGGAAAGGGGTGGCCCTGTTTCCTTTTCAGCGTCCCAGTCTCGCGAGCCTGTGAGAAAGCAGGGAGCAGTGTTGCCTTTCGATCTGGATGCTTTCAGCCTGGCCATCCCAGTGTGAAAGGGAATGAAAAGATGAAAAATTTCAGGGCTAGCACAGCATATACAGATCACTGGCTCTCCCTGCACTGCTAGGGACTGGACAGCCCCCACTGCCTGCTGACACTCTCCACAAGAGAGACCAAAGGGGATGGGTGGTGCAAGAAGTAATGAGAAGGAGCATGCTTCCTTTCCTAGACAGATCTCCTGCCCGATCCTGCCACACCTGTGAAGAGGTTGCCTCCTGCAGCCCCTCTCTCACTGGCACATGTCGAGACAGGCAGAGCAAGCACCATGGGCAACTGCAGCTTCCCAGGATCAGAGACTTGGGAGGCCACAGGAATGAATGATCAGCAACTGGGGGAGAGAGGCCACAGGAGACTCCCACCCCTCAGCATCAAGGGACCATGGACTCATTGCTTCTGGGCCCACAGTAAGGGGTGTTGGCCCCAGCTGTGGAGTGAAGTGCTGGCCCAGTGAGTAGCCTGGCTGAGAGCAGGGCTCAGGGGGCTCACACCACTGCCCTGTAATACCCAGAACAGCCTGCAACATCCAGATACCATGGCTGCTGAACACCCACAGACATATAGGACTTTCCAAGTGCCCAAGCTATGGGAAGGGGAATAAAAGTGATCAATAATCCAAAAAGGTCTGCAGGTGCAGACTGCGCACAAGCTTTCAGTGAGTGCCAACGAGCCTGCATTAGTCCGTTATTGAGATAATTCTGAATAACAAAACTTGAATTCAAATCTATTAATGAATTGGAAATTCTCAGAAGCTTCCTTCTGTTCCTAAACCACAGGGCCGTAGTTTGGGGGAGGATACAGTGTATTTTTCATACATACCAAATCAGCAAATCCCAATTTAGCTTTGGAGTAGGGACCAGCCCCTCCATAATCTCTCTCTGAGACCCCTTCTGATGTCAACACTTGCTGCAGGATCCAGTACCTCAGGACATAGATGATGGGTTACACAGCCTTTCCCCATATAGCACCAGCTAGAATCTAGCCCCGCTCAGTTGGGACTGAAGAGTTTGGTGGGTCTCAGTTCCAGGTCCCACATTACACACTCCCCTGCATGCTTGGCACTAACTGGCAGCCCTCTGATGACCCAGGGTTGAGGCAGGCAGAGCGGTGTGTTGGAGAAGTGTGTCCTGCTGCTGCCCTGTAGATAAATAAGGGACCTCCATTCACTTGGGTTCTCAGGCCGATGCCTTCACCAGCACTAAAGCCACATTCCATTTTTTAACCATTGGACTGTATATGCAAATTATTTGCAATATGCAAAATAACTAAATAGCTAAATGAATATTTGGTATTAATGATGCAAAAGTGACTAAGTGCCACTAATTTCCGCTGAAAAAGTGGCAAAGAAGTGGAATCCTTGCTTTAGGGGGAAAACTCAACTCTAGAGCCATGGCCAGCATCTCTGTAATGCCTGCTGCTGAGGTTGGAGTTCAGAGTTTGCCTTGCAGATGCACATTGGGTGAGTAGAAGTGCTCTCCCTGGGAGTGCAGTGTGTCCCTGCCACTGTGCAATGGGATGTCCAGGTGCCAGGGGACACTGGAGACTTTTCCTTTCACTTGGCACTTCCTTGATTTACAAGGGCTGAAGGAAACCTGACCTGCCTGCAAACAAAGCTTTGATTTTAGGAATCATCAAGCGGGTAGAATTCTTTGGAAAATCTATAACCATAGGACAAGCATGTAACTGTTTATGCTCCTATGTACTGAAAGGCTGAGTTCCTATTTGCTCTGGTCCAAGTGCAGGTTGCTCTGGGAATTTCTGATTTCTAATCTGTATTTACACACAAGTAGGGAGTGAAATGTTATCAGAAAGAGGAACGATTCCTAACATTCCTGAAAGACCCTGACAGATGGATTCTCTGTATATCCAGGGATATTCAGGAGTGGCTACAGCATGCTGCTTGTTTTGGCACCCCTGCAATCACTACAGCAGACCCTGCTGTTCTAGTCCTGGACCTCCACACAGCTGTGCAGCGCACCCAGCGCACAGCATCACAGACTGTTCCATGGCTACCGTGCTAACCAATGCAGGAGATTTAGGATATGGATGAAGACAAACCAGAATGCAACCAACCAACTAATGTTCACTTATGTCTAGGTTAAACGTAACATACTCAACCAGGGTGCTGCCCCGGTCCTACCCACACTGGCTTCAGCGACAGATCTTACTGCAACTCGGCCTCCACATGAAACCTGGGCACTGCAACCCCAAGTTACTGACCATGGGGAGCTTTATTCACCAAGGGAGAAGAGCAGATCTGAAGAATCTGACTCTGACCCCAGCTGCCAGGTACTAAAATCTGCCCCCGCCCCACCTTCCTGAGAACATCTTGGATCTTCCAAGATGCTTGAGTCAGGGATCAACTAGAATGATTTACTGAAGTAGCTACAAAGCCGACAGCCCTCCCAAGAGGCCAAATCTCCCTTCACTTCCTTGCTAAGGAGCAACTGAGCGCAATTACCAGATGGAAAGCAGAACTCCAGCATCCTATAGCAGCAGGGTAATGGCTTGTCCTTTCCAAATGTATCCCATGGCTTTGGGACTCAGGGCATACCACACACTACTACAGGCTGACATCCCCAGCTGCAGGGATCTCCCTACCCAGGGGGCCTGTAGGCAGCACCTCAGGTGCTGTTCCCATAATGGGACATGCCAGCCCCCTCTCAGTATGTGTGGGAGCGGATGGGACACCACATCAGGACCTGGAGATGGAAGATCAGCACCATCATCCCCCGGCCACCTGGAATGGGTCAGTCTCTCAGCCAATGGGTCAGAGGCTGAGCCATGGTGGGTGTGGAAGATGGTGCTATGTGGAAGATGGTGACTCCTCCCTAAAGGCACCTTTGCTGCTTTTCCCACCACCTCCCCCAATATCTGCCTTAACATGAAGAGATTTTCAACATCATCATGCACTTCCCCACGGCTCCTTTCATATAAGCAGCACCATACAGCGCTTCTGCGTGGCACCACTCCTCAGATGCTCTGCAAGAGCCACATGCTGGGAAGTCTGTGGCTGAGCAGAACGTGTCTGTCTCTTGGTGGCAGCCTGAGTCCCAACACTGAAAGCCCAAAGCAGATGCTCTCTGATCATAAAATCATCCCCAGACAGAAACCCTGCAGGGCCATGCAGGAATGTGCAACTCCTCCAAGGACAACGCTCCTGCCTTGCCATAGTTATTGCAGTTCTGCACACATCTGGGCATGCTATGGATGTAAGTCAAATTGGTCAGAAGAGGGCACTCAGAGTTGGCTCCTACTTCCACATTTAAATTGGTACTTCCAACAATGGCCACACATTGAACAAGTGGCTCAGTCCCCAGCTCTGTCGCCCCCATGCCTCACAGAATGGTTCAGTGACCTGTGGCTACTGGTCCAAAGTACCACAACACAAGCCACTGGGCAGGGCTCTGCTTGTGCTCTGGAGGCCTGTGAATTCCAGAGTGG